TTTCTTAGCTCAATATTTAATAACCATCAGAATTTGTCATCTTTTCCTATTCTCCCACTGTTCTTCCAGCCAAACCCTCCTAGTCAGACACAAGTAGAAACAGGTAGTAATTAAGAATGTCATACTTTTGGGGACGCCTGGGTGGCTCAGTGGGTTGAGCCTCTGCCTTGGGCTCAGGTTATGATCTCAGGGCCCTGGGATCACGTCCCACATTGGGCTCTCTGCTCAGCAGGGAGCCTGCTTCCTTCTCTCTCTCTCTGCCTGCCTCTCTGCCCACTTGTGATCTCTCTCTGTGTCAAATAAATAAATAAAATCTTTAAAAAAAAAAAAAGGGGGCGCCTGGGTGGCTCAGTGGGTTAAAGCCTCTGCCTTCGGGGACGCCTGGGTGGCTCAGTTGGTTAAGCAGCTACCTTCGGCTCAGGTCATGATCCCAGCGTCCTGGGATCGAGTCCCACATCAGGCTCCTTGCTCGGCAGGGAGCCTGCTTCTCCCTCTGCCTCTGCCTGCCTCTCTGTCTGCCTGTGCTCGCTCACTCTCTTTCCCTATGTCTCTGACAAAAAAAAAAAAAGCCTCTGCCTTCGGCTCAGGTCATGATCCCAGTGTCCTGGGATCGAGCCCCGCATCAGGCTCTCTACTCAGCAGGGAGCCTGCTTCCTTTCCTCCCTCTCTGCCTGCCTCTCTGCCTACTTGTGATCTCTGTTTGTCAAATAAATAAATAAAATCTTTAAAAAAAAAAAAAGGAATGTCAAACTTTTGAGCCAAACTATCTATACTTAAATTCTGGTTTCAGTACCTACTAGATGTGACAATTCACATCATTCCGTCTCTCAAATGGAGAGAACAGTACCAACCTTATAGGGATGCTGTAAGGATATCAGTTCATATTTGTATCCTCTTTAAAACAGTGTCTAGCACATAGAAAATGCTATAAGTATTATTAAATAAGTTTAAAAATCTAGCCTAAATTTTTCCCTTCTGCAAAACAAAAGACACTCATTGCACAATTCTTTTCTGCACCTTTACTCAGGACTTGTTCTTGCTAGAGTGCTCTTCCCCTTTCTTCCTGCCTATACAAAAATTTAACTTCTTCATCAGACATTTAATTAATACTGTTTGAGCAACTGCCAGTTACTCAATTAGTCATTGAGGTCATAGCATTAAACAAGACAGAATTCTAGCCTTTAGGGAACTTACACTCTAGTGGAAGGTGCAGACAAGTACACTACAGTGTGGTAAGTGTATGACACACGTATCTTCAGGATCTACTAAAGGCCTTGTCTTAAAGAGCCAGGGGAAGCTTTGTGGAAGATGTGATATGTAAGCTGAGAGTTGAAGGAAGAAAAAGAATTAGCCTGTTGAAATGGGTGTCCAGACAAGGGAAGGAGGGTGGGGCTTGACTTTGAGATAAAGTGTAGTTCGCTAAACAGCGGCTTTAAGGGAGAGTGGCTAAAGTTGAGGCTAAACAAGTAAGCAAAAACTAGGTTGCAGAGGGTTTGGAAAATCATGCAGGAGGGGTCTTCTCAAATCCCACTGCCTTTAGGCATTTTCACAGACTACCTCAGCCAATTTTTCTAATTTCTTCCTGACTTTCTGTAGTGATTTGACTGTAGGGTTTGCATTGGAAAGAAGTTGTGTTAAAATCATTGTGAGTGGTTTGTTTGGGGAAGAAGTAGTGATAAGGTGGGGGGCAAAATCTGACATGAGTTAAAGTAAGTATTTTGGACTTCTGTGGATGAGTAGAAAACACAGGGTATTCAGGATGGGGTATTTTATTTTTTTATTTTTATTTTTTTTTTTTTTAAGATTTTATTTATTTATTTGACAGAGAGAGATCACAAGTAGGCAGAGAGGCAGGCAGAGAGAGAGGAGGAAGCAGGCTCCCCGCTGAGCAGAGATCCCGATGCGGGACTCGATCCCAGGACCCTGAGACCACGACCTGAGCCGAAGGCAGCGGCTTAACCCACTGAGCCACCCAGGCGCCCAGGATGGGGTATTTTAGAAAAGGAAAATTCTGAGAGAGAAGGAGAGAGAATACACATGCAAGTTTTCTGCGAACTGTATTTCATTAAAAATAGAACTTTGAAAGGGAAGGGATGAGACTGAAAGAGAGAAGGTAAGATCCAGCTCATAAATGGAGACCAAGATGTTCAGGCATTTTCTAGTAAGTATTTGGAAATCATTGATGGATTTGATATGAGAAACAACTTGGATATTGTTTGCATAGTAGAAGTGAATTTAGCAATGTAGAAGGTAAATTTGAGGAGACTAAGTCTAGAGGTAAGATAACCAGTTAAGAGGGTACTGCAGTAGTAGAGGAGGACTATTATTAATACTGAAAAATCAAGCCACGGTGCCTCTGAGACTTGAACATGGATGTGTGCGTTGACTGATAAAGGGAAATCCAGGCTTGATACCTATAGACATGGGAGTCATTGATGCATAGGTGGTGGGAATTAAGGCTGTGAAAGTGGATGGTTATACTGATAGCATTTCATTTTCTGTGTGCTAAGCACTATCCAGAATGCTTTATATACCTTGTTTCATTACTTGTAACAACCCTGTGAGGTTGTCATTTTACGAAGAAAAAGGAAATGTTCTATAGAAGAGTTAAGTAGTGTATAAAACCCCAAAGCTAATAAGGGACAAGAGTCAGGAATGGAACAAACTATCTAACTTAATACCTGAAATCTTAGAACATGATGCCTTGGGTGAATGGAGGGAGTGCTCAGGAGAGAACGCTGGGAAATTCAACATTTAAAGGTCGCAGGTGGAGCTGCCTGTCTACACATGGTCACCCATGTATATATGGAGAAGGAATCAGAGAGGTAGGAAAACCAGGGAAGTGGTTATGACCGAAACCAAAGAGGAATTACCCTAACAGATTATTCTGTGTACCAAAAGCCGTAATGAAATAACATTTTAAAAATTTTCATCAGGTTTAATAAGTTGGAATTTATTGGTAATTCTTATTTGAGTGCAGTGGTGGCAACATAAATTAGATGGCATAATTTATATAAAGCTCTTTAGATTGCATATTTTAAGTACAGAAAAACAAAAGTAGCTCCTATAGGTACGGAATTAATGGGAGTTAAAGTGGAGACAGTGAGAATTCTTTCAGATATTTGAATCTGAAAGATCTTAACTCAGGTAAGTTGATTTGGTTGGGTTTAAATATGGATTTTTTTTTTTTTTTGAGAGAATAGAATTTACATCTAATGATTTCTGATGATAATAAAGAACATGTGGAAGGACTATAGCATTGTGATGTTGAGGGCCCAGCTGAAGGAGACTAGATTTATGATTTCAGTCTTCCTGGTGGTACGATTTTTCTTCATCAGAACCCAAGAGCAGAAATAAAAGTGCAGTAAAGGCATTCAGTTAGGTTGATCTAGATTTAGGATTTGTTGAATGCATATGATAGAAAATGAAGTTTTTTTTGTTTTGTTTTTGTTTTAAGATTTTATTTATTTATTTGACAGACTTAGTGAGAGCAGGAACAACAGCAGGGGGAGTGGGAGAGGGAGTAGCAGGCTTCCTGCTAAGCAGGGAGCCCGTTGCAGGGGTCCATCCCAAATCATGACTTGAGCTGGAGGCAGATGCTTAACGGCTGAGCCACCCAGGCCCCCCGAAAATGAAGTTTTAATAAAAGAGTGGTTTAGGGGCACCTGGGTAGCTCATGGGTTAAGTGTCTGACTCTTGATATTGGCTCAGGTCGCGATCTTGGGGTTGTGAGATAGAGATCTGAGTCGGGCTCTGTGTTGGGCATGGATCCTGCATAGGATTCTCTGAGCCTCTGCTTGTGGGCATGCGCACACATTCTCTCTCACTCTCGCTCTCTCTCTAAAAAAAAAAAAAAAGTTTAAATAATAGATCAAAGGCTGAAATTGAGAGAAAAATTGAGTACTAAAAGTGACTATAAAGTTAGGAAAAATGTAGAACTGAGATCTTGATAAAAGTGACAGATTTAAGGGGAATAGGAGGCTGTAGTCAGAAAAGGGGATTTTAAAATGTGCAGGTAGTTGTTAAGAGGTCACAGAATTTAAGATCAAAATTTTGAGACTAGAAAATGTGATGGATCATCCAAATGGACATTAAAATTGTCCAGGATATAATGCAACTTGGGGTGTTTTGCTTTTTAAAAAAAATTTTTTTAAAGATTTTTACTCATTTATTTGATGGAGAGAGACAGCAAGAGAGGGAACACCCACCAGTAGAGGGAGTGGGAGAGGGAGAAGCAGGCCTCCTGCTGAGCAGGGAGGCCAATCTGGGGCTTGATGCTAGGACTCTAGGATCATGACCTGAGCTGAAGGCAGATGCTTAACTACTGAGCCACCCAGGTGCCCCAAAACTTGGGATGGTTTTGCTTGAGTTCAGAAAGCAAATTGATTGGGCCTTGTCACGGGCCTTAGAAGAATTTGATGTGTATGTGTGTGTGTGATAAAATTACATATTTCCTAGGACCTAGTTCACAAAGTAGGAGCAAAGTGTTGCTTCCAGTTAGATGGCAGTATTCAGGTGTACCTGAGTAGTATCAGGACTAATTGATCAAAAGAGTGTAGCTATAATAATAATGCAGAGGAGGTTAAGCAGTTTGCCAAAGATCACATTTTAACTGGTTCTAAAGCCCAGGCTCTTTCCACTAACCTTGGTGTTTTTGCAACAAGTTGAGTTGTTTCAGCAGAGTTTATCTTTCCAAATGTTTGGGAGAACAGTTTTTATTTTAACTTCTCCAGAGTTAATGAGTTTTTTAGTGCCAAACATCTATAAAGTAAAGTGGAAATCTACTCAGGGAGCACCTTGAACAGAATATTAACCTGAGACAATCAATGCTTTTAGGCACTAGTTTCAATAAATTGATCCATTAGTTCACTTGTCTGTTTATTTGTTCTCCACCCACATAATAGTGGTTACACAGTTTGAGAACACTGTATTTGGAATAAGTTGAACAAAGTATAATTTGACTCATTTGGTTTTATTTGTTGTCTTTTTTTTGTCTCTAGCTGCCTATCCCCACCGTTTAAATCTCTTTTACCTCGCCAATGACGTCATACAGAACTGCAAAAGGAAAAACGCAATCATTTTCCGTGAATCATTTGCTGATGTCCTTCCTGAAGCAGCTGCTCTAGTGAAGTAAGTAAATTCTTACTGCATTTTGGGATTCAAGCTTAGAACATTAAGAATTTTAGTTTTCCTTTTGACCTGTCAGTAAGAACTGTTCAAAGTTGTACATGCTTGAAGATCCATGAATATTTTGCCCAAATTGTTCATGTCACTTTCCCACTAATACATACATTTTTCTTCTAAAACTTCTTTCTTCTTTCTTCTAAAACTGGGTGGCTCAGTGGGTTAAGCCTCTGCCTTCGGCTCAGGTCATGATCTCAGGGTCCTGGGATCGAGCCCCACATCGGGCTCTCTGCTCGGCAGGGAGCCTGCTTCCCCCTCTCTCTCTGCCTACTCATGATCGATCTCTCTCTCTCTCTCTCTCTCTGTGTCAAATAAATAAATAAAATCTTTAAAAAAAAAAAAAAAAGATTCTCTTGTGGGGCACCTGGGTGGCTCAGTGGGTTAAGCTGCTGCTTTCAGCTCAGGTCATGATCTCAGGGTCCTGGGATCGAGTCCCGCATCGGGCTCTCAGCTTAGCAGGGAGCCTGCTTCCCTCTCCCTCTCTCTCTGCCTGCCTCTCTGCCTGCTTGTGATCTCTGTCAAATAAATAAATAAAACCTTTAAAAAAAATAAAATAAAAAATAAAACTTCTTTCTTCTCTCTCTCTTTTAAGATTTTATTTTTGGGGGCGCCTGGGTGGCTTAATCGGTTGGCCGTCTGTCTTCAGCTCAGGTCATGATCCCAGGGTCCTGGGAATGAGCCCCATGTCAGGCCCCTTGCTCAGCTGGGCAGCCTGCATCTCCCTCTTCTTCTGCCTCCTGTTCTCCCTGCTTGTGGGCTCACTCTCTCTCTGTCAAATAAATAATTTCTTTTTTAAAAAATTATTTATTCTATTCTGTTCTCTTTTTGAAAGCTTGTTTGCTATTTACTCTCTGCCTCTTCTCTCCTGCCATATAGCTCCTCTATGGAGCTCTTTGGTTGGTACTTCTTTCCAATAGCTCCTTCTGTTTTCCCCCCCCCCCCCCCCACATTTCCTTTCTTCTTTCAGTGTTCTTAAAATCTTGACCCCTCTATGATATCTGTGTAATTAAAGAGAAATGGAAATTTTTGTTCTGAACTTCATATTGATTTATTCCATCCTTAATGAAATTGTAACCAGCATTTAGCAAAGTGTTGGAATACTTAATTCGATGTTATTTTTACTCTCTATTAATAGTGTCTTCCTTGTGTTTCATCCATATTTGCAAGTTGTTTATTTGGTGCAAGAGACATACATACACAATTAGAGGATATTATAACATGTAGAACAATCAAAATAGCTGAGTATTTCCTCAAATAATATTGTACATTATCCATCCATTTGTTAGCTGTTAACCCATTCAAAATTGAATGATCCTTTTTCTTTCCTTTGGATTGTTAACTTGAGGTGTTTATTTTGGTGCTAGGTAAATATACTAAAAGATTTATACACATGTCAGAAGAACATAAAATTGGGGTGCCCAGCTGGCTCAGTTGGTAGAGCATGGGACTCCTGATCTCTGGGCTGTGAGTTAAAGCCCTGCATTGGCTATAGAGATTACTTAAAAGTAAAATTTTTGAATAAAAAAGGGGGTGGGCACTGGGGTGGCTCAGTTGTTAGGCATCTGCCTTCGGCTCGGTCATGATCCCAGGGTCCTGGGATCGAGCCCTGCTTCAGGCTCTCTGATCAACAGGAGGCCTACTTCTCCTTCTTCCACTCCCCCTGCTTGTGTTCTCTCTCTCTCTCTCTCTCTCTCTCTCTCTCTTTCTCTCTCGCTGTGTCTCTCTCTGTCAGATAAATAAAATCTTTTTAAAAAGTACGTAAAATAATAACAATAACACCTAACATTTATTGAACACTTGTAATTGACCAGATATGATACAGAGTGCTTTGTGTGCTTTAAGTCATTGAATCCTGAGGGCAACTACTTTGTTGCTACTTTGTCCCCATTTAAGGAGAAAGAAACTGGTTAGAGAGATTCAGTAGCTTGCCTAAGTTCTCACAGCTGGCAGGGTTGTGGGGAGGGCAGGGAGGGACAGAATTCCCACCCAAGCTTGTCTAGACCCCAAAGCACATGTTCTTTCCCACTTAACCACAGTCTGTGTTGTTTCTTTACATATATAAACCCAGTATAATTTAGAGTAAGAAAAGCAATATGCTGGATGGTCTCCATTTAGAGTTTCTGCTGTAAATATCACTATAGTCTTTTTATAACTTAACCTACTGTTTCCTAGACTTAGGTTTTATGACCTAGTTCATGGGTTAATATAAAGTTGTCAGCTTTTATTTTACTAGGCAAAGGTATTTTTTAAAACAACTTCTTTGGGGGTGCCTGGGTGGCTCAGTGGGTTAAGGCCTCTGCCTTCGGCTCGGGTCGTGATCTCGGAGTCCTGGGATCGAGCCCCGCATTGGGCTCTCTGCTCGGCGGGGAGCCTGCTTCCTCCTCTCTCTCTGCCTGCCTCTCTGCCTACTTGTAATCTCTGTCTGTCAAATAAATAAATAAAATCTTAAAAAAAATAAAAATAAAACAACTTCTTTGTATTAATTTAACTAATTTCACAGAAAAAGGTGGAAGGACATAATCTCAGAATAAACTTCAGTCCTTTATTTATTTTTGGGGGGGGCAGAGGGAGAAGGACAAGCAGAGACTCCTTGCTGAGTGTGAAGTCAGACACTTAAACCAACTGAGCCATTAGGCACCCCAGTTTAGTCTTTCAAATTAAAATTTCAAGTGCTGAAAATGTTCTCTTTTTTTTTTAAAGATTTTATTTATTTTGGGGTGCTGGGTGGCTCAGTCATTAAGCGTCTGCCTTCAGCTTGGGTCATGATCGCAGGATCTTGTGATCAAGCCCCACATCATGCTCCTTGTTCAGTGGGGAGCTTGCTTCGCCCCTGCCTGCCGCTCCCCCTGCTTGTGCACAATCTCTCTCTCTCTCTCTCTCTGTCAAATAAATCTTTAAAAAAAAAAGATTTTATTTGTTTTGAGAGAGAGAGCACAAGCAGTGGGGAGGCAGAAGAAGGGGGACAAGCAACAAGCAGACTGCCTGCTGGGCAGGGAGCCCAATTCGACTAAAGGATCAATCCCAGGACCCCAGGATCATGACCTGAGTTGAAGGCAGAAACTCAGGAAACTGATGTGCTCCAGTTCTGAAAATGTTCTTTTTTTTTTTTTTTTTAAGATTTTATTTATTTGACACAGAGAGAGAGATCACAAGTAGGCAGAGAGGCAGGCAGACAGAGAGAGGGGAGGAAGCAGGCTCCCCGCGGAGCAGAGAGCCCGACGTGGGGCTCGATCCCAGGACCCTGGGATCATGACCTGAGCCGAAAGCAGAGGCTTTAACCCACTGAGCCACCCAGGCGCCCCCTGAAAATGTTCTTAATGAGGGTATCTTCAGAAACCTGTAGAAAACATAGGACTTAACAGTGAAATAATAAAAGCATTCCAAGACAAGGATGCCTTCTGACATCATTCATATTTGCCATTATTCTGGAGATCCCATTCATTTCTGAATAAGTAAAAAGAGTACATTTAGAAGAGATAGGATTGTTGTTACCTACATCAGGGATGGGCTACCTTTTTTTATAAAGGGCCAGATAGCAAGTATTTTAGGTTCTGTAGGCCCTAGAATCTCTGTTGTCACTACTCAATTCTGCTATTCTAGCATGAAAGCAGCTATAAAACAGCAGGTAAACAAATGCATATGGCTGTGTTCCAGTAAAACTTTATTTACAAAAATAGGTAGCTGGCCTGAGGGTCAGAGTTTGCTGACCCTCCAGCTCACATAAAGTCAACTAATAAGAGATTTCATACAAAGTCAGATTCAAGTTCAAGTACTAGCTATAACCAATTTAAAAATGTCATTAGGAGAAAAGATTCCTTTTGCAATAAAAAGTACTGCTCCCCAGAATAAAAGAGATCCCACTCGAGTAAATGTAGTAAGAAGTATGTTAAGGTTTTGGGGCGCCTGGGTGGATCAGTGGGTTAGAGCCTCTGCCTTCAGCTTGGGTCGTGATCCCAGGGTCCTGGGATCAAGCCCCGCATTGGACTCTCTGCTCAGTGGGGAGCTTCTTCCTCCCTTCCTGCTTCTTCCTCTCTCTCTCTGCCTGCCTCTCTGCCTACTTGTGGTCTCTTTCTCTGTCAAATAAATAAATAAAATCTTTAAAAAACAAACAAACAAACCAAAGAAGTACGTTAAGGTTTTTATAAAGAAAGCTTTTAGACTTCACTAAATGGTATTAAAGATATGGATAAATGAAAAGTTAGATTATTATGTACCATTTTGAGGAGAAAGATTTTGGTATTGTTAAAAATATGATTCCCACGAGGTGCCTGGGTGGCTCAGTGGGTTAAAGCCTCTGCCTTCGGCTCAGGTCATGATCTCAGGGTCCTGGGATCAAGTCCCACATCAGGCTCTCTGCTCAGCAGGGAGCCTGCTTCCTCCTCTCTCTCTGCCTGCCTCTCTGCCTCCTTGTGATCTCTGTCTGTCAAATAAATAAATAAAATCTAAAAAAAAAATACGATTCCCAATATGTAATCTATAAATTTATTGTAATCCCAGTCAAAATCTCAACGGGGTTTAATGTAGAAGGATAACATATGAAAGATAATTGTTTTAAAGAATAGTAAGGCTAGATTTCCCCTATCAGTTATTAATTAAACCCTGTTAACACTCTAATAGAAGCAGAAGTAGAAGACTATATCAGTGAACAATATATTCTTGGTTGTAAAGAAATTAATGATCCCTGATCATGATCCCTGGGATCATGACCTGAGCCGAAAGCAGAGGCTTTAACCCACTGAACCACCCAGGCGCCCCCTCTTTTAAATTTCTATTCATACATATACTTTAGATTCATTTCTACCCTTTTGTGAATTCTTACATCTTAATTTAAGGCTATTGTTTTAATCCCTTTAATTCAGGAGGGGCAAATGACTAGAAGTTCCAGGCCGGTCACATGTATGAGTGAGGTATCTTGAATGTGGAGAAGAACCCATCTAATAGGAGCA